GTGAAATTCGAATTTCTTCGTAGTAATTTTCTTTGTCTGGCAGCAGTTTGTGAACGGTTTTGATTTCCGCGGAGACTAGTTTTCGAGTCTAGTAGAGTCATTTTTCTCACGCCGGTTTGGGAATGGTTTGGGCCCGCGGCGGGAAAAGTGCCATTTTCGAGATATTTTGAAGCGATCGTCCCCCGAAAATCTGTGAATGGTTTTCGTTTTCGGCGCGGAGATCTTGTGATAGTGTAAATTTAGAGTCCTTTGTCACGGTCAGAAGTCGAGTCGTAGGAGCGTCCATTATCTTTCCCTCGGGGTCGGAGGCGGAGAAACCGCGCGACGACCACGTAGTCGCCCGCGTCCGCGACCCATTTTGTTTCCCCGGAAAACCCGCTTTTGTTCCGGTGTTTTGTCAATTGCGATCGTTGAGTTTATGTTGCAGAATAATTTTGAGAGTAGGTTTGCGACTCGTCCGTCGATTAATTTTTGCGTAAAGTTGCGGAAATTTAGAGTCGAGAATATGTCGTGTAATTTTGAGGTAATTAGTCCATGAACGCGAGCGCAAATTATATTTGAATTATAGAAATTTGTAATTTTGATTGCGTACGATTTGAATTTAAGCGACAAATATTGTTTATTACAGCGAACCTTTTGCGTATTTTTAGTACCTTGGGATTATAGAATTGTTCTTGAATTGTGGCCAATTGGAGCCCATTGAGATAGAAAGTTCTGGGAGTTGACGAACGCTCCACTTTGCGTTGATCGGAGCCCCTCTTGAATATTTCGCGTTAAATTGTCTTTCCCGGCGATAAACCGAGAAAACTAGTTATTTTCCTAAGATATCTGATATTCCATTGATTTTTCATATTGTGCTTTAATTATTTCTCGCCCAATTGTCTCGCGAAAATTACTTTTCTAATTTAATTGTCTTTTGGGCGGCCTTCCGCCGTACCCTATTTTCTCGCCACATTTCGGTTTTCTCACGTCATTTTGTTAATCTAATTGTTTTCTATTTCTTTTTATTGTTAGAATAAATTTGTCACAAATTGATACCAGATTGGAATTGGTTTTTCTTTTGGGTAGGAGTGGCTGAATTCCCCTGTTTCCCCCGAGCATATGATAAATTCCCCAAATTTGTTGAGGTTTTCCCCTTATTCCCCCGCATCTTGGTCTTACCCTCGCCCTCTCCAAACCTTGGCGCGTGCGCGCTCTGAGCTAGTCGGCCGCGCCGCGACGATCGTCGAGGCGGAGATCGTTCGAGCCTTGTCCGTTGAGTTAATTTTGAGATTGTCGAGATTCGTTCGAGAGTTCTAAAATTTTGAGTCGTTGAGATTTTCGAGAATTGAGAGTTTGCCGTTGAGTATTTTTGGCCTCCGGGGAGGCCTGGCGCCCAACTTACAAGGAAGGTACCTGAGGTGTCCCCCTCCGATTTTGTTCATTTTTAAATATGTTATAGAGGACTAAAATTTAAGGGACCCGTGTTTTTTTTTTATCGGCGGATAAACACTTTTAGGGGGTGAAATCAGGCTTCAAAGTTGGCCGTGAAAGGGGGTGAGTTTGCTGTTTCATATAGAAGCACTCGACCAATTTTCATGGAACAACCGTCAAAATGTAGGGAATGAAGAATTATGAAACATGCATTTGGAATTTTTCGAAAAAATTCAATTTGAAGGGGTGAGCCACCCCTTCGAATACTTCTTTTACCCCTTACGCGAGCAGTAATTGCTCTATCCAAATGAAACTTCGTTAATTTAGTGACCAGAACAATACAAAAAAAGCATATTTTGGTTTTTTTCGAAAAACGAATTTTAAGGGTTGTAACAACCCTTTAATAAAATGATGTATAATCTCGTTTTAAAACCAGCTTTGTACGACTTCCTTGGGCTTAAAGGACTTTAACGATTAAAATTAATAAAAGAATACGATCAGGTACCATCCGATACATGCGAAGGGTAAATTACCCCTTGGGTTCAAAGGAATGTGATTCGTAGAATATAAGACAGTNATAATTTATAAAAGTATTATTTATTTTGTATTAAATGCATTTTTTTTTAGAAACAATTTACAACGATCTGTTCAGGGACCTGAAATCTTCGAGATATACAAACATCTGACATTGAAAAAATCCTCATTGTGGTGACCGGGGTTTGAACTCGAATCATTTAGGTAACAGACTACAGTAGTGCTGACCACTGTTCTACCGCAGTCCTATGGATTATGCGATATGTTCCGCATATTAAAACACCACAGTAATAAGTTTAATTAAAATTTTGTTTAATCAATGTCATTTATATTGCCAATCTCTGGCCAAAAATAAGGACATGTATATAAGTTATATATTGTAATGGTATGCCGTTTTGACAGTGCCTATGCACCGAGAAACTGCATCCGTCGAGAGTTCGAGCCTCACGATTCCTGAGACCGAAATTAATTAAAATTCCAATATATGAAATAGAAAGAGACTGGCGAGAAAGCGAGGAGGGGGTTTACGAACGACCAGCTGAGCGCGTCAATATTGTGGATTTCGGAAGGCCTGTCCGTGAGAACCGGTTCGAGCGAGTTTTTCTAAGGCTAAGCGCCCCGGCGCCGTTCCGTCTAAGTGAAATTTGGTGATTTATACTTCCTGGAAAATGCTCGGATTTTCGGCACCTTTAATTTAAAGTCGATGCAGTCCTAATTGGATTAAAGGGGTTCTCCCTGACTCATGCGTTGAACTACGGAAAGGAAATGATCCTCAGTGAGAACGACTTATTCCATTATGGGTGCGTTCTATTCGCTCATCATTGAATCCACATGGAATATGGAAACATGGGATGTAAAGGTTATGTGGATCGGTGGTTTTGGGTAGAATTCAAATCGGAATTAACAACAGTCTACGCGTCCTCCGCGTACCCCTTCCCCACGTCTCGAGTTCTTACCGACGCGTTTGAATTAAAATCCAACCGTTGGTGGGATTGGAAGGCGATGTTGTTAACTAACAACCCGTATGAGAAATTAACACCTAATTCGGGTGGCTGATCAGCCCTAATTGAAAGAATGCACTCAAAATTGGTTTCGCGGACTAAAGTCGACCACGGATTTATGTTTCATCCGGAGTTAGTTTCTCCGGGTTTTAATATCACTTAAATTATGTTATCCAGCCGCGGATATTGGCTGGGTTAAGGCTTTGAGGATTAAGACCCGGTAACAAGGCTGGAATTGATTGGAATTGAAAATTTTAATTCCACTGAATACCTGATTTTTCCTTTGTCCTTTATTCCACTGACGATACAAGAAAACAAGCGAAATCTTATCCCTATCAATTCACTCCAAAAAATTGAAAGGAACGGAATTGAAAGGAATTCAAAACTACGAGAATAAGAATAGAAGCAAAGGAATTGAAAAATACGAGAACAGGAATAGAAGCAAAGGAATTAACTAATCCGAGAATTGGAATAGAAGCAAATTAATAGAAATTTGAATACTCTTTGTGGGATTGAAACAACTTTTTTATTTACTGAAATTACAGGGATAACTGATCAGATATCTTTTATTTCTATTTCACTGTATGAGTTCTACTTTCGACCTTATACATCCTGCTAATGTAAAAGGGTCATCTGAGGCATTCAATCATTCATAAAACTTTTCTGCCAACTCGATGCACCGAATCTTTTGAAATTTGACCACATAAATGTGGAAGCCCTAAGGAAGTTTCTGACACTATGATATTGTGTAAAAAAAAAATTTTCAGATGTGTATGAACAAATTAAACACAAATTTTTACTTCATGTATGTCACAACTTTCTTTAGGGCCTCCGTATTTACGTAGTACAGTTTCAAACGATTCTGTACACCCAGTTTGGAAAAAAAGTTCATAAACGAAACCTCTTCGATGCTACTTTTTGTTCACTTTAAATTCAAATCAACCCGATAGAATAATACTGGAGGAGAATTATATAAATTTATAGGGGAGAGTTGCTTATATCTTACTACCGCTTAAATCGTTTCACTACTGGTCTTCTCGCCGCAGTATTAAAAAACCACTGGTTCAGAAAATGGCGAAAAAACTAATAAGGTTACGATTTAGGCGGTGGCACGATATAGGCTCGCCTTTACTCCGCTCTCCTTTACAGTTTTTGATATTGCTAACATATTTCTGTAAGTATGTCTTCTTCCATCTCGTTGATATTATTTATCTCCTCTAGTGTGTTCGTCTCTTCAAGGATTAATATTTCTTGAAGAGCCTCGGTCTCCTCCACGGTCCCGGTCTCCTCAACTGCTTCTGTCTCTTCCAGTGTCTCCGTCTCCTCAAATGTTTCCGTTTCCTCAAAGGTTTCCGTTTCCTCAACTTCATTACGATCGGCAGCATTGCCTAAAGGGTGCCTAATTTTTTTCTGCGGTTCTGTAAAGTAAAATTTTTATATCATTAGGAAAGTTTTTTTTTAATCGTATAACATATTATACATTGATAAGGAAAAGTATATTAGAAAGATATGTTTTTTGGCCTAGTGTAGATGCGACAAGAGGAGAAATTAAGACATTGTTTTACAATCTTAGTTCAATAACAAATTATCAAATACTCCAATGTTTAGGTAGGCTCAAAAAGTGGCATTAATTCCTACTGATTTTTTGTGAAGTTTAAATAGCATAACAAGCGCTTGATCGTTCAGTTACTTCTCTGAATAGTACAAATAAATGTACTTACTGTCATATATTTCTTTCAGTTGAGCGATTTTCTTAGTTACGTATCTGTTTGTTTTGTCAGCTTCGTCTTCAGCTTGAAGTGGAGTCATTTTCAATTCTCTAATCAAAAAGTAACGGTACATTTCTGTAATGAAAAGTGAAAAAATGTCACAACACATGCAATACGTTAACGTGCACGTTTAATACATTACCTTTAACTGCACGTAATTTATTAGGATCTAAAGCTCCTTCTGGTTTTTTGGTCTCCCGATTTCTATTACTACCACGTCCTATTATTGTACTTGCGGCTAGTACATCGTAACCGAAGACTGCAACCAAAATATTTCGGACGAATTTTTGCTTCGTCGATATCTTCACATTATAACCTGCTAGTACATATGCATCCTTGGAGATCCACACTCAACGTCCTAAATGAATCTGAAATAGAGAAAAAATACTTTAAATACTATACGAAGACAAGAAGATTCAGAACAATCATTAACTTACAATCATAAATAGATATTTCAGTTACCTACCCGGTCTAAACTTTCGTGGCCAATCGGCGCAAATGGTCCTTCTTTATTTTGTTTTTCGAGAGTATTTTTCAATTCAGAGAACATTGCTGAAGAAAAAAGAATATTGAACAGTTTTAAAATAAGAATTCCAACAACAGAGTTATGTCCGCCGCGAAAAAAAATTCATTGAACCAAAGTAATATTTCTTTGAATAGTACCGAAGAAATATTACATTCAATTTATTCGAATTTATTTAAATCAAGTAATTATTCTTTGAATTAACAAAATCTTTGGTACTATTAAAAAAAATATTTTTCTGATTCAATAAACATTTTTTCTTAGTGTATACATTCAAAATAGTACTTTTAAATGAAGTACTAAAGATATAATTTTCAATTCAATGGGTTCAAAATAAACTTCATTTAAATTATATTATACATTTTTATTATAAAATGCTTGTTTTCAAACTCCAATCCTTCCACCTAGTAGTTCCCAATTGAAAACCCCTAAGATACATTCATATTGAAATTGAAAGTAGTAAAAATTATATAATGTCGAATGAAAAGTTTTTGAAATGTAGTAAATTGGAATTTATTTGAATAAAATAAAAAACGTTTAATTCGAGTGCTTTCATGTTTCATTTTGCATCTTTCAACTTCTTACATCGTAAAAATAAACAATTTTCAAGTTTGAAAAACTAAAATAATAATTCGCAAAATGTCTATATTTACTACAACTTTAACTTGGAGTAACTACTGCAGAAAGCAGATATCTAATTTCATAGCATGCAATTCGGATGCTCAAAAAGGTCAAAATTATTGAAACTGTACATTTCCAACTTTATAACTAATTAATTTTTTCCTACAGTTGTAGCTAAAAAATGTAGATTTAAATATACGAAGCCCAAGCATAAACTATACTTGCCATGGATGGTATCACATTTATCTATGGATACTTCTTGCCATCGTCGATTCAAAGCTGTCTCGATTTTCAATTCGTCCTTAGCTGCGTTCAATTTTTCTGCTGATTTCAAAGAAGCTAATTTTCTTGCTTTCAATTCGTTGCTTAACGCTTCGTTCTGCTTCTCGACTGTCTGCAATCGTTTCCTACAAAGCTCTAGTGACGTGGTTAAAGATAGACATCTAACTTGCGCTTTGGAGACATCTTTTTGATTTCTTTGGATCTACAAGTGTCAGAAATTACCAATAAAGGATGTATTCCGAAATATACAATCATGTAACTTCATTTTTAAGAAGTGGACTTTGTAATATCTTACAACAGCTTGCATGAAGGAGTTGTTGTGTGTGGTTGATAATATTGAAGGTCTCAACGTTTCTCCTTCAACAGAATTCATGAGCACTTTTCCGTTCATTGGTAATGTTTTTGAATTGATGACTTTAGACTGAAAAGACTTCTTATCGTTAATCTTTTTTTGCTGTAATCTTTTGGAGATCTCAGGTTTTGGTATTCCCACTTCTTTCATAGGAATCTCATTTAAAGATTTCTTCTGAAAAATGTTCTTTTCCTGTGGTGCTTTGGCAGCTTCAGATTTTAATGATTCCAATTCTCTCACAGGAATTTCATTTCTTATTTCGAGATTATTCTTTTCGTCTACATCAGTAAAGTTAGGTGGCGCGACGGAGGAAGAGGAAACCTTCAACGAAGCTTCCCTAGGAACGTTCTTTAATCGAAAAGAGTAATTTAAATTAAAAGTAGCACATTTCAATGACAATGTAAAAAAGAAGAAAGTGAATATACACCTTTACGGGTTCTTTATATATTTTTTTAGCCAATTGTTTTTTCTTTAATTCAGCTAATCGCAACTGCAAACTGTCTTCTTTATCATCTTCAGCCTATAAGAATAGTCTTAATTCGCAAATAGTCTTGTACATTATATGAAATAACTATCAACTTTTTTGACAAATGACAGAAACCTTTCGCTTCGTTCGCCCTCGATTTGTTTGTGTTTCATCATCCGTTTCCATTTCCGTCGAATCCGATGGTAGTACAATGTACCTTTCCGGTGGTTTTCGTTGTCGCTTAGATGAGTTCAAAACATCATCCATTTCAGCTGCAGAATCTGAATTCGATGAAAAATTGTTCATAAAAATAAAAGTTTACTTTAAACAGTACTAATTTCAAGGATAGCTATACAAATTTAAAAGAACGATTCCTAATATTTCCTGATTTCACATTTTTTTCTTGGTCATTGAAATGAGCATTAATTGAAATTGTCATAGCTACACAAAATTAATTTTTGATTATGTACGAGTAATATTATTTATATACTACAATAATTATAGGTGTTCGAACTGAAATATGTTTCATATTAAGGACATTAAATGAAATTAATTGACAATAAGAAGAAGAAGTTGAATGAAATGATAGTAAACTGGAAACATTGAATACTGCTACTTAGAATAGAGGAACGAGTGCAATGTGGAAATTGATGAAATATATTGCCATACGTTTTTAGTGAATTAAAAAAATTATTCATGTCAGAACGTTAAAGTTTTCATGCAGTCTCCAAAGACTATACTTTGCGAAAGCATAATTCATAAGTATGATGGCATTAAATAATTGTATCAATTATATTGCTTCATTACTTACCAGCTATGAAATTAATAGTTCCGAACAAAACATCACCATCCAAGTCAAATTTATACGCTTGAAGACATGTGTGCTTTGTCTCATCGAAACGGTGAATAGATGTCAGTGGCACTTTCCACGATTTATGTGACCCGCACTCTGATATTAATGCAAGCCTTTGACTCATCGCAAACAGAGAATATTTTCTTATTAACGTACAGAGGAAAAAATAAAGGTATTTTTAAGTTGACCTCGTGAAGGGAGACTCGTAGACGAAATTGAACACACGGTGAAGACTACTGGTGCCGACAAATATCCCAACGAATTTTCTTCTTGTAGATTTCACATTGGAAACAAATGACGTATAGTACTCCTCTGTAGCTCGTTCGTAATTGGACGTAAAAGAATGTCGATATTTCATCTCTCGTGTTGCCAGGCGAGAAGTACAGTGACGGAACAGGAGTGCCTCCTTATTGCATACTAGCGAGACTATATTTCTAGAGAAGGCATTCATGTCCGCAAATGTACATACAGACGGTTAGAGCGGCCATGGCTGGCCATGGCTGGCCATGGCTACTTCCAAAGAATACAGTTAGAGACTTCTGAATAATTCTGAATTCTTTGCTACTACGCTGTATCCGGGCACACCATACCAGACCAGACCCAATTGAAATAAACATAATTTCTTACAGCGTGGTTACATATTGTGTGTATCAGAAACGGGCAAAGTGCAACCATGTCTGTAAGATGTATTATGTATGTTTATGCGGGTCTGGTCTGATATGGTCTGGTCGGCTGCAGTGTAGACGTAATCAAAAAGTTGAAACGTCATATAAGCGAATTTTATTTATTTGTTCAATACAAACTTCACAAACGTGCGTCTTATGATACAAAAGTGCATTCATTGGTTGTAACGAGACATCTTAATAATTAATTTTAAATCGAAGAGGTAAGTGAAATGAAGATTAATATTACCGAAGGCCTATGTCANACTCATACTTAGTAAAATGCGCGCCTCTCTATTTAGAGGAAAAATCGGGTAGCCTCGTAACAACTGATATCACTTAACAAATCTGTAAATGTATATATTTTAAAGGTTTTAAAATTACAAAGAAAATACCAGAAGCAGTACTTAGATATGTAGTCAAATTATTTTTCTGCAGACCAAAATCATGGCAGGCAGGACTCAACGAAAGAGAAGATTTCACAATACGGTACTGGATCCAACTTATCAGGTGGGAATGACCTCTCAAAAAACCCAAAGATCATGGGAAGAGATATATAACAAATCTCTTGAGGAATACCAAAGTAAGTATGGTTTATTTTCATAGTAATTCATGTAGTTTTCAACTCCATCTTCCTTAGATGTTAATATATCTATACACAATACTTCTTGTCAGGTCCAATTCAGGGGTTTACTTGGTCAGGGGGCACTTTAAGGACCGGTGATTACATTTCCTTCAGTAAGCATTAGAACTTATCGGGACCATACAATTCGTTTTATTTTGAAGCACTTATTAGGACCGGTGAAATTTCAACCACAAAGCCAAAAGTTGATGACACTGTTACAAAAAATGTAATTTCATAACATTATTTCAAATCAAATGTATAACATGTGTTATAAATGTAGTACGTATATGTAATAAATTCATAACATATGTTATAAATTTGTGTGGATCAATATTTGATTATAAATGTTTCTTCTGCAGATAAAGAAATTTTACATATGTTCCGGATTTGCTCGAGAAAGTTTTTAGACAGCCCTGTCTTAAACACCGACAAAATATTTTCGCAGTTATCGGTCCCAGAACTCACGGGCAAGTAGCGGTCACATTACCTATGATCCTACTGGAGGAATCTATTGAATGTAAAAATTTCTTTAAATATTATTTAAATATTTCTCGAACTCAGGAATATCCCTACAATGCTTCCCCACCGGTACCACGGATACGTGTCATTTCTCGATTAAATTTGTTTTGAAATATACTTCTGTTAACAATTATAAAATTAAAAATTGATGTAGAAAATTTACAAACAATACATACTCTATGACTTTCGAATGTCACATTTATAATTCTTTTACGCAGTTTCACGAAATTATAACACGATGTTATAAAATTATAAGTTTACTTAGAATGACATAATACTTGCATACTAATTCACGATTAAGACATCAAATTTACAATTTTATTGCAACCTTATGTACTAAAAGAATATAAATTTTTGTGCATTTTTTTAACAGTATTATTTAAAATTAATTGCGAATTATTGCTGAGCAATTCATTTACGAAAATTCGTTTAATTATCTTATTATCAATTATCAATTATCAATTATCAATTATCTATATCAAATTCTTATTTTCCTTCGTAACATTTCTTTCGACCTAAACAGAAGAAAACGAGGAACGGATTCGAATTCCTATTCTAAATGTAGAGTTATACATATACATACTAATGTACGCGGTCGTTTATTGGTTCCAAGAATTGCTCTTTCATAAAAAATATGTATGTATTTGCGTGTATGTATATGTGGTCAACTTGGAATTTCTTTTATATAGAAAAGAATAGAATATTAATTTTTTCAGCCACAGTCCTTCAAAAAGTAATTTAGTTTATTATTTTCAATTCAACAAAGTACAACCATACATACTTTTAAATAATTGATTTTAAATCCCACTTGGTTAAATTGGGCTGGGCAAAATGATAACCCCTCTCTCTAACGTTGAAAAATGAATATCTATAAAACTGTTTTGCTACCTGGGAAGTGATTACATTTTTTTTCAGACTTTTGAAATATTTTCAGCTCTACCACAGACCACAGACGAAGAAGGACGTTTTGCAGTATTTGGAGTGGCTGATGCACTGATGGAGATATCAGAGGAAGACTTGTCGGAATATTGTACCAACGATGAGGATTCCTCCGAAAACCGCAATGAAGATAACGCGGTTCAGCATTTACAAAATCCTGGGGTAGAACAATCGACGTGTTCCAATTTTAACACAGAACACGACAAAAATACGAGTAGGACGTTTTACGTTGAAGATGGTAATAAAATTATATTTGAAAAATCCGGACAAACAGTGAACGATGTAATCGAAATGATTGTAGCGTATCATTTAAGATTCGGCGATTCTCTGGAAGCTCGGAGAACATTAATAGGAATGTTTAAAATTTGTGCAGGGCCTCATTTCAAAAATTTAAATTGGTCCGATTATAAAATTTTCCAAGTATCTGATCCTCCGCCTGAGAAATTAAAATTTCATTTTTATTGTACTCAGTGTATGAAGAAGGTATTACTTTCTTCTGACAAAAGAGGTATTAAAGGTCAATCATTGTGTGCTATTTGTCAGGCGGAGCATTGTATGAAACTTAGCAATCCAAATCATTTTTTGACAGTAGATTTCGAACATGTATTGCGAACCCTTCTGGAAAATGATGAAATCGCTGGTTTTTTAATCCTGAAAGTGAAAAATTTCTAACGGCTGAAACAAATGCCGGAGTCATGCGGGATGTTCATCACAATTTTTTGCACAAAAAAGCAGTGAAGATGTATCCCAACACAATAACGTATTGTAATGTGGTGGATCGGTAGCTCCCCCACATTAAAGGGAAATCGCGTCCTCGAAGAGGAAGGAGTAGCTACCGACCCGCCCTATATACCGTTAGAGCTAATAAGTTGCGCGCGAACGTTACTAGCGAACGCCCGAATAGGTATTAGGGGATATAGTTGGGAATAATTATGGGAAAGAAAAGGGAAAATAAGGGTCTGTACCGGATAAGGAACGACTCTGGGCGATAGGGGATGTTCGGCAGTAGATAGCTACGGCCTTAAAGGGCTGTGCGCCTTAGGGTTCGCCCATGCGGCCCTGAAATAGTTGAGGAGATTGGGCCGCTCACGCCTGTAGTGCGCGGCGAGGCCCGAGCCGCCGTCGCCGCGCTGCTCCGGGGGAGTAGGAGGATTGGTCGGCCGACGCGGCGCCGCCGGGCCGGAGCCAATCAACGCTCCGCTCGCGAGGCCGCTCGGCCAATCCGCGCCCTGGAGACTGCCGAAAAAGGACCCGGCAACGCGTGCGGGCCGGGACCGGCAGTCAGTCGGAAGATAGCAGTAGTTGATAAGTTGCTACAGCCTAGGCAAGAGCTCGGATCAGGAAGCCATTTTTGAGACCAGAGGAAAGACACTGGCGAGTCCGAGAAGGCTACGAATTTTGAAAAAGATCACCGAACATCCCCTTTCTCAAGTAAGTCGTGGGGGAGAATCCGCGAGATTGATAGGGGAAAATCAGTGAAATTCGTATGAAACGATCCGCGACATTTTAGGGGAAGATTCGCGGAACTTCGTAGGGAAAGAGTCGCGGCATTAATCGGGGAAGATCCGCAAGAATTATACGGGAAAACGCGCGTAGCGAGGCATGCGAGTGTGTTCGCGAGTGGCGGCCGCGACGTATGATAAGTAGCCGCGTTACGGCCGGGAACCCGCGAAGCTCGTGCGAATTTTGTGGTAGAACTTAGAATTTAGGGCCGCCGACGGGCGGCTGGCGCCCAACTAGTGTGATACGGGATTAGGTTAATAAAGAATTTTTATATGAAACAGATGAAATCAAAAATTGAGCGCCCCTTTTTTGTGACGAAAACCACGTCGCAGTATATAATTAGCACTGATGGTGCTCCTTTGTTTCACATTACAAAAAGAGGCTTCTGGCCATTATAATTATTACTAAACAATTTGCCTCTGCATCTTTGTTTTAAATTTTCAATCTTAGTCGGTGTTATGATTGTCAAAGCGGAACCAAAACCAGATCTGATGAATCTGTACATAGAAGAATTCTGGAAGCAAGCAAGTCGTCTACATTCTGAAGGAATTAAAATTAAATTAAAAAATTCAATATCGAAAGAAACTTGAAACTGGTGTCGAAAGAAACTACAAATTATTATAATATAGATAGAAGGAAAGTATTGAGTTACTAATACACCTAGCTGGCAACAAATTATTATAATATAGATAGATAGAAGGAAAGTATCGAGTTACTGATACACCAAGCTGAAAGTTTTAATGTCAAAACTGGTATCAAAAGAAAACTGAAACTGGTATCGAAAGAAAATAATAACTTACGCCCTTTTTGATTGAAACGTGGATCGGGTAGCAGACTCGCTTTCCCGTTCCCAAAGGGCGCCATTCGGGTTTCACCACCTAACCAGGTATTCCCTATTTTATCACGTTCGGTCGGGTAGCTACTAGACTAGTCGGAGAGGGGGTCGCTTCCGGACGCTGAGGAGTTAGAAAAGGAGCAATCTACTACAATAAAAGATCGGAAAGGGCACCGCATTGGGAAATAGAGAAGGTTCCACAATCCGCCACGTTCGGAGCATATCTATATTTATAACGGTGTACAATAATAACTCAGAACTAAAGTTATTGCGCTTCGATCGCGTTAGAAACTTCACAAACGTATTGCTTGTCCTTAAAATCGAGAACAACTGCTTTTGAATGAATTTCTGCCGTAACTACGGGTGCGTGTGGAACATTTCGCATTACTTCCCAAATGTGTGATATAGTCATTTTGCCAACGAGGAATGGTTTCACAATCAATTCCCTTACATTGAAAGAAGACGCACTGTTAGGTAGTAAGTAAATGTCCAGAATTTGTACAAATTTTCCGTTTTTCAAATGAATGATAGTGTCGTTAAATTTTGTCGAACGAGTATATTTGATGCTGCTGTACACACAATTGGCATAAAAACATCTTTAGAATTTTTTGTTGATGGTAGATTTAAAAATATTTATTGGGTGAGGCCCAAAGAACGTTATATTTCCCAACGCAACAGCACTTTTCGAGCAGGAGAAAATTTTTTCACCGAAATTTTTTGCTTCCATCGAAATATTTGCCGCTGGTGGCCGAACTCGATATTTCAATATATTAAGAAATTTCTTTACCATTTGTTGTTCGACGCTTTTGGGGCCACTAAAGGTTTTTTTTTAGAAAGTGAATATTATTTTCAAACGGG